AAACAAAAATGCTGGCTGAGGAATTCTGGGAGTTGAAGTTCACATATCTTAAAGTACAGAATTAGGAAGTTCTCTCATGTGTATCCACACTGTACCCTGTGATGCATGGAAGATATACTTGCCATTCATTATGCTGCCTCTTCCTGAAACATGCATGTGCAGGACAGGAAGAAGAAACTGTGCAGCTCTGCTCTGTTATACAGAGTTAACTCTAACATTCCTTCATTCTCCTATCTTGCACTTGTGATACTCCTTTTTCAAAGAGAACCAATTGAGTTCCCTTTTTTCTTTCCCTTTTGTATTAAATAATCTTTGGGTCATTTTCTTTGTTTTGTAGTGCATATTTTTGAAGCACCGAAGCCCCTTGTGTTCAACAGAATTTCTCCAAATAGTTTGTAAGGGGCTGCTCTCAGAGCTTTGGAAACCTGTTGCACTTGGACAACAAAATAAGAAAACCATAAAAATAAAGTTGCCTTTTTTGTTTTCCGCTTCATTTATTTATTTTTTAATTTTATCCTCCTATGTAGGCCGGGCTCCCCCTAGAAATACCACAGTGGATCTCAACAGTGGGAACATAGATGTGCCTCCTAATATGGCTTGCTGGGCAAACTTTCACAATGGTGTGGCTGCTGGGCTGAAGATAGCTCCAGCTTCCCAAATAGACTCTGCATGGATTGTCTACAACAAACCCAAAAATGCTGAACTTGCCAATGAATATGCAGGCTTCCTCATGGCTCTGGGTTTGAATGGCCATCTCACAAAACTTGCAACACTCAATATCCATGACTACTTAACAAAGGTGAGGCCATAGTTCAAAAGTAAGAGGTAGAGGATGCTTTCTTTGGGCCAATATATGTTATCTTTTTTGTGCTGGGATTGATAGGAATATCACACTAAAAGCCACTCCATAAGCTGAATAGTGCCATTGATCAACTGAGTGGTGAATTCCTAGCCATTTCATTCACTGTAGTGATTGGCACAGAAGTTGTATTAGTTGTACAATTTTAGTTACAGAGTGCAGAGTCTGCTCTGTAGGTAGATTTCTTGTATTGAAGGTAGCATGTTGATGGTTCCTAATGGTTCAGGTTTTGTGCATGTATTTTATTGAATATCAGCTCTTTTGTAAATTTTTACAGCATTTTCTGTGCTGCAATTTTGACAACAATTATTTATTTATTTATTTATTTATTTATTACA